GAAGGGGACGGGGACGGTGGGCTCGTGGATTGGGAGTTTCTGGAGTTTTTTAATGGCGTTATTGATGGGAAGGTTCTGGCGAGTAGAGCGGGGAAGACGGTACTTGAGTTGGATCAGTGCTTTATCATTTATCGTCCGCCGTCGAGGTGAGAAATCAGGAGTCGTCGGCGACTTCAGGCGGCGTGCACCGAAGATGATGCGGCCCTTTTTAAACATGTTTACCATTTCTTTTGTTTTTTTTTTTTATTTTTTTTTCTTTAACCTACGGCACGAGGCAATCAGCAGGATATGTTGCCTGTATATGTAGTATATGTTCAGTATATTTGCAGTATATGTTCAGTATATGTACAATATATGTTTAATATATACTTTTTTTCTATATGTTCTAACGAAAAACTTCTCAGAGGATAATTGTCGAACAATTGGTGTGCTTGATTGTTGATAGATAGTTCTATTATGTACATGTTGCGGGTATATGTTGTGGGTATATATAGTATATTTTTGATATATGTATCGATATGAAAATTTGTATATTTAGGGTATGAAAACTTTGTACATAATTTATATGTTACCATAAGATATGAAAATTTACACGTTGCGGGTATATGTTGCGGGTATATACCAAAGTTGCACAATACACATATACATAAAATATACGTACAATATGCATAAAATACACAATCGAGATTCACGTAATTCAAGTTCACGATACCACATATACATAAAATATACTTTAAATATACACTCGAGTTTCAATCGTTTTTTCAAAATCGATTTCAAAACCCACATATACATAAAATATACCTAAGATATACACTCGATTTATTTTCACGAGCAGATCGTTTCTCACGGGCAGAATCCACATATACATAAAATATACCTAAGATATACCTAAAATATACCTCAAATATACCTAGGTTATACAATCGTTTCTCATGAGCAGACAAGAAGGTCTCAGGCTTCGCTTGACTTCCGAGGGCTTGTGGCCGGAAAAACCCGTGTCTTGGAACATGGCCACTATCGCACACGAAGCAGGCGTGCCTATCTTGGCTGAGGGCTGCAACCGGAGTGTGCCTGCCTCGTCGTGAATGGCCTGGTGCTCTTGGTACTCGCCGGAATTTGGTGCATCTCGGGTGTCCTTGAATCTCCCCACCTGAAATTGGGTTTTTTGGTGCTCGTGGATCGTCGGCTCGCACGACTTTCTTGTTGCTGGAAAATTGGTGGCCTCCTTCTTGTCGAGGAAGATGACAAATTTTTGGGAACTTTCTGAGGGATTTTTTCGAGGGGAACGGGGATCTATAACTTGTCGAGGAAGATGACAGATTCTTTTTTTTTTCTGGTAGTTCATGGCGGAAATCACGCCACAATCTGTTGGAGAGAGGACGACAATCTGTTGGAGAGAGGACGTTACAAAGGTAACAAATTA